CATCGTTTTAAGGTTATAAAATAAAACTTAATTGAAAATCGGTAAAGTTACTCACTCTGATTGCTGTCCATGTCGTTCATCTTTAGTAATCCAATTCGGTAGGTGGCGCTGTTACAAAAGAATAGGATCCTAGAACTGCGGTCCTAGAACTGCGGTCCTGAAACTGCAGCCTCCGGTTGTGCAGGAACATACTATTGGCGAATTCCCCAAATGTGGGAATCTCGACTGCATAATTTATGGTAGTGGGGGACTGCGTTTGCGCTCGCCCCTGTATTTTTTTTGGGGGGGGGCAGTTGTGGCCTAATGGTCAGAGGGTTAAATGCAGAGCACTAATTCCTAGTATGGGTCACCATACTTGGCCTCACTTCACTTTCTTTCTTCTTTCTATCTCAGTGTATCAGTCAGGAGCCATGGATAAGAATTTTTTTTTTTGACTCACAAAAACCGGCAACCACAGACGTGCACTGTATGAATCGCCAAGTACCGGTTCCACTTAAAAATCTTTACTGTTCTGCTGAAGAAAAAAAGTTACCTACATCTTGGATGACCTGAGGGTGAGTAAATTAACAGAAAATTAAAATTTTTGCGTGAACTATCCCTTTAAAGCTCAAAAGCCCTTGCTTTCTGAAATTGCATGGTAAATAGCATTCAGTATATTATTTAAAAAAATATATGGTTTTGTGATCTGCAGAATAAGAAAGTCATACAGGTTTGTAATGACATGTGGGTGAGTAAACAATGACAGAATTTTCATTTTCATGGGAGAAGTGAGTCATTTTGAGTTGATCAATGCTTTTTTTTTTTTGTTAAACAACAACAGAAATTTCAGCCACAACTTTATAGACCTTATGCAGCTGGGCCCCTTTTCAGCACTGCACTTGTTGTCTTCTGTCTTCCGGATTGTATTTCCACAGCACGAAGGTAAGATCTTATGGATTTATGAAGGAACTGCTCCTTTTGTGGTGTCTTATTTTTTTTTGGGGGGGGGGGGGTGAACTGTCCCTTTAATAGCTGTGATCTGCCTAATTTTGTCTAGAATGTTTTCAGCAGTACTCCAGTAGCAGTTTGTTGTGCTTGAGTTTGTTAGGTTTAAATGGTTAAATGCAGAGAGGGGAACTAGAGGACAGAAACAGCAGTGTGTGCTGTGTCTCTGCAGGGCTCTTCCCAGTCTTTTAATTGTTTTATCTGACAGACAGCACTGAGAAGTGGACTAACTTTGTGCCTGCAGTGCACATTTGGGTGGTGCAAGATCAGAATGAGCCGAATGTCCCTGAGGTGACCATATGTGTGCGAGATAACACGGCTGACTTTCACTGCTAGTTTGGCTGGATGCTTTGCTTCTTTCCACATACACACTGGAAAAACAACTCACACCAGACAGAAGAGATAGTCAGATGCAGAGCCGGCGCTACCTACATGCAGAGCAGGCAATTGCCTAGGGCCTCGGGCTTTAAGGCGGGGCCTCCATTACCGTAACATCCCCTATACGCTAGTCCACCAAGACAGGCAGCAAAATACAGCCTCATTGTACATTGGATATAGTTGAATTGTCGCTCACCTGCAATTAAACCAGTTAATGTTGTGGGGTAATTCTTCTACAATTACCCCATCAACTTCGGTCAGAAATCTTGTTTGCTTTCATCTTGCTGACCTTCAAAGACCACATTGCAAAGACTGCTCGATCTTGCAGGTTTGCATTGCACAACATCAGAAAGATCAGGCCCTTTCTAACGGAGCATGCTGCACAACTTCTTGTCCAGGCCCTTGTCATTTCTAGGCTGGACTACTGCAATGCTCTTCTGGCTGGACTTCCATCAAGCACAATCAAACATCTACAAATGATTCAGAATGCAGCAGCACGACTGGTCTTCATCGAGCCCAAAAGAGCCCATGTTACACCTCTCTGGATCTCCTTGCACTGGCTACCGGTTGCGGCTTGCATCAAGTTTAAGACATTGATGCTTGCATAGAACAGCCTCAGGCTCAGCACCATCCTACTTCCACTCACTAATACGAATCATCATCCCCTCCAGAAGTCTGAGATCCGCTAGTGAGCGACGTGGTACTATCACAGAGAGGCTCACTTGCAAATGGTTAAATGTCTGGTTTATGAAATAATGGGATATAACCCTAGAAGCCTTGTGGATTACTGCTGTAGCTACTCCAGGATATATTCATACACTGTTGTTGCAACAGTGTGTTTCGAAACTCAACTACTGGAAATCTTACAAAGATTTGATGCCGCAAATCTCACAAACTTTGGTAAATCCAGCAACTATTTGTTCCTCGGAACTGTTCATTGCCATAACCACGAAGCTTGTTAAAGGGATAGTTCACCCAAAAATTAAAATTCTGTTGTCATTTACTCACCCTCATGTTGTTCCAAACCTATTTAAGTTTCTTTCTTCTGCTGAATGCAAAAGAAGATATTTAGAAGAATGTTGTTTTGGGTCCCATCAATGTCCATAGTATTTTTCCACATTATGGAAGTCAATGGGACCTAAAACCATTTGGTTAACAACTTTCTTCAAAATATTTTCATACAGTTTTACAGTTTTGGAACGACATGAGGGTGAGTAAATGATGACAGATGGCTTTGTTTACAGGTGGACTCACAGGTGGATAAAAACCTGTGTGGCTCGGAAGCAGCATGCAGTCAACCAGGAATATTGGAGCTCACCGTTTGAGGAAGCTCTTGCCATTTTTGTGTGCAATATCCATATATGTGGTAGAATCACCATATTTTGATCAACACTCTTAAAAGTAAAGGTTAGAAAAGTATGGCAAGCCGTGTTTACATTTGATCCTTAAAATGTACTAGCATCTATTTTAATGCTGCTACTACTTATTTTTTAGCTACTACTATCTATCACATTAAGTACAAGTACTTATTCATTTGCTACTAGAGCTTATTCTTTAGGTAATAGTAACTTTTTAAAGATACTAGTACTTATTCATTAGATACTAGTTCTTATTTATTAGATACTACCATTTATTTCAATAGTGACTACTGTTACTATTTCAAATTTTTACCATTGACTTCTTTGGGGATCTGTCATTCAGATATCAACTATTCAGTCATGACTATAGTATGATATAAATTTTTTTTATATTATTAGTAAGTATTCATTAGATACTAGTACTTATTAAATACGATTAATAATAGGTCCTAGTAGTTATTCATTAGGTATTAGCACTTATTTATTTGACACTAGTATCTTTTGTAAATCTTACTAGTAACAAACAATGTTGCCTCTATTTTGTTTTCTTGCTGAGCAAAAATGTTCTCTATTGGGCGGACTTTTCGGCCACCTGAGCAAAAACATACTTTATATATAAAGAATACCAAAGTATACCAGACCTGTACAGCGCACACACAAAAAAGTGTGTAAATTTTAACTTTAATGTGCTGTTTATATTTGATTTGACCCTTGATGTAACTAAATGATGCACATTTTAAGTTACCTGAGAAAACAGTTTTTACAGTGCTGTTACTTACCAAGAAATTCTATTTAAAAAGTCATTTAAAAAACTCTCTCACACAGAATAGTTCAATTCTTTATAATAATATAATATAATATAATATAGCTAATATGAAAAAAATATACAGTTAT